AACGACGGGCCATCCGAGTCCCTCAACTGTATATATCGCGATCTCAGTCGACACTGCCTTGCGGACCCAGTGACCTCGGAGGACAACTGCACTTCGATTGGACCTTCCTTCCTTCGTCCCGGGGAACCCAGCCTTGCGAGCACTGACGTCGCAAAATTCATCTCGGTACCTTCAGGATGAGAACTTGGAAGCGATGGACATTTTTTACTTTTCTCGCCTTGCAATGAATGCGGCAAACGGAGGTATAATTTCGTACCTGTGGGCAACCTTCCTGCCGAGGCTGTGTGACGTAACGATAACGTAACGAATACACTGTAACACGAATAATTTCATCGCAACGGACCGATGCCATAATGATAGATCTGTTTGAGACGAGAACAACAGAAAAGGTTAACATTTTCTGGCATTACAAAGAGGTACGAGGAAAAGGTAGAGAGCTGTGGAACGAGTCGTGTCAACGATTGAAAGCACTCGTTCCACAGTTCTGTGGTTTTTCAGAACAGCTACCAAGGAGCCGATTAGAGCCTCTAGGCACTCATCCAGGCTTGGATCTTGGCTTTGTTCACGCTGAGCTCTAGCAGCAAGTTTCTATTGACTTAGCCTACATAGGTGATGCAGTCGAAATGGTGAAGCATATCAAGTGTAAAGGGAGGAGGGGGGAGGGAAGAGCAAGTCTGCGGACGAGGATCGTAGGGATTTTCCCCAAACGAGGGACGATCATCTACTCTAGATGTTTACTTACAGTGTTTTTCTTTGCTTTAAATCAGATAATTCCTGTATCGTTTGCGGTACACAAACCCGGGAACCGACTGTCAGACCCCATTGTTCGTTTCCGCGAAGGCAAATAGGACATACTAATCCTTCCGCTGCAGAAATGCAAGATGAATTAACAGTTAACACTGCTGACTTCGAACGGATGACGATTGGGTATTCCGAGAATGTTGCTGCAGAACGTGCACTAATCCTTTACCCGAAGCTACCGTAATTCTTGGCGGACGAATATGGATGGGCCATTGAGTTTCATGCATCGTATGTCTACGAGAGGCGTTCATAGTTTTCCCCTGACCAAGTTGTACTTGTGATATATTCTTGAAATTTGTACTACAAGTTGATGCATATGTTGTATGCATGTATGCAACATATTGCAAACATAATATGACTTTTCGTTGTGTTTTTAGATCATTGACTGGAAGTAGGTGTCATAATGGATAAAGTCGAGTACCGTTCTGTGATGAAGTTCCTATTTCTGCAAAAGAAAAAGCCGAAGACTATTCATGAGGAAATGTTAGCTGTTTATGGAGATGAATGTCCATCATATGACTTTGTTAAGCACCCACACAGCACATGGATGTCCCTAACTGGACGACTTGTCCCCATGTCTTTATAGGATATCCTGAAGACATCTTCTTTCGGACAGTTTCGGACATCTCGTAAGGGATGTCTTCGGGACGTCTTTTAGACATCTTCAGTCGATATCTTAGAGATATCCCGAAAGGGATATCTTTAAGACATCCTTAAGTCGAATGCTTCTGGATATCCTGGAGGGGATATCTTGAAGATATCTTCAGTCAAACACTTTTCGATATCTTGAGGAGGATGTCTTAGGGACATCTTAGGGATGTCTTTAGGCATCTTCAGTGCTCTCTGTCGCCTTCAGTCAGGTGCACAGCTTAGACAGTAGATGTCTCCCGTGAGCCCTGATCTACAACCTCAGATCTTTTCTATCGAATTCATCTACTTGATTTGTCCTGAGGACAAGTAACGATTTTCGTACCATACATAAGGAAAACTGCCATCAGGGAAAGTGAAAAAATTGCGGTCCGAATTTTAATTTATTCATTTATATTCTCATTAATGATGTCTGATTGGCATGTCTGGATCCAACTATATTGGTTGGAGGCCTGAGCCCATACTGTTTGAAAGGCATAAGACTACATCATATAATCCATGACCCTTCGTGTAAAAGTGCTAAATTTCGTCCCTTGGAGATGTGTCTCCTATGGTGGGGCTTTCTTTAGGAATGGTATTTTCCTCCCCCTTAATCGTTACCCTTCAATCGATCAAGAACTTTAGATTAGGTGTTTATATATAAAATAGACATCTACGAAACCAAAGGGTTCTCCTGTGCGATAGGAAATGAGTCCATATAGGTAGGAAGGAATAGGAAGGCCCCTACAAGTACTACCTGAGACTTCTCACTTGTCCCAATGGGATATCCCTGGGACATCTCTGGGATGTGCTATTTCTTCAAGAAAGAGATATCCTTGGGATGTCATTGGGCCCAGGCATTTTGATATCCCTAAGATGTCCCTACTCCTTGTCTCTGGGACATTGCACTTGTCCCAAGGGGATATCTCTGGGATATCTTTGGGATATACCTGTGCTGTGTGGGCACTGGTGGAAACAGTTTAAATGTGGTCGTGTGTCTATCCACGATGAGCCCAGAAGTGGTCGTCCATCAACGTCGCACATGGATGAGATGATCAGAAAAGTTGAGAATCTGATTGTTCAAGACCGCCGTGTTACTATTCGTGACATTGCTAATGAAGTAGGCATCAGTGAAGGTTCTGTGTATGATATAATTCATAGTGAATTACACATGACGAAAGTATCAGCCCGTTGGATTCCTCGTCTATTGACACCTCTTCAGAAGAGACACAGGAACGATTGTTCGCAACAACTTCCCATCATGTGTAATGCAGATGAGGAGAATTTTTTCAGTCGTTTGGTCACAATGGATGAATCATGGATACATCACTTTGACCCTGAAACCAAAGAGGCATCCAAACAATGGAAGCATTATGATTCCCCACCACCCAAGAAAGTCAGGGTTCAGCCATTTGCAGGGAAGGTGATGCTGTCGGTCTTCTGGGATCAGAACGGTATCATGCATCAACTGCATCAACGGCATCAACTGATTATCTTGAAAAGGGTCATACCATCACTGGCCAGTATTACAGTAACTTGCTGAAGCAGCTACGCACAAAAATTAAGAGAAAGACGTGGTTTGCTGAGCAAAGGCGTTCTCCTGCTTCACGACAACGCTCCCGCTCACAATTCAGTCGCAGCATACCAAGCCGCAAGGGATTGTGGTTACGAAATATTGCCACATCATCATTATTCTCCAGATTTAGCACCATCAGACTTTTTCCTCTTTCCAACATTGAAATCTTCCTTACGAGGACAACATTGGTAAAATGAAATAAATGAAAGGGCACAGAAGGAGCTTCAAAATACACCCAAGTAACACAGCATGTTGATGAAACGTTTCCGAAATGTTGCCTGTTGCTCTATGTTGCAAGTTGCTGTACAACATTGAGAAAACATTGCTTCAATGTTTTCACTTGGAATGTTGCTGCGACACTTCTACGAATGTCATTGCAACATTAGCTATCAACATTGAGAGAATGTTGACACTCTTGACATCGACAACGTAGCGACAACATTCTGATACAACATGGACTTAGAAGTTTTAGAGAATTGTAAAGTTGTCCTCCTTGCCATGAGATGGAGACGTAAGTCTCGCTTTCTCACAGTACACAAAAGTGCCCTTCTCCCTTTCCTTGGAATAGTCCCGCACAGGAATGTCTAGTACCTTGCCATATGTCTCACATTGTCTCATTATAGGAATCAATGAACACGGACACTTCATCACCTGTTATCCTCATTTTCCAGACAGATTAATGGGGTCAAGATAAAAAAGCTCATATTCCCAAAAAGAACCCTTTCCAAGAACTCGTCGAGTTCATCCTACAGGACAATAAAAACGATGGTAAAGAGTCTGCGATCTCAATACTTCATATTCTCATTCTGGGTACTAGCTGAGGAAACGAAGGATTGATCTCGTGGACACTCCATAGAACATTGCGGTCGGACCTTTTCCTGTATTGTGCAATTTAGCACATCCAGGGGAAGATCACCTCCAAAAATGTACTGTCTCCTGCCTGTACATGATACAGATACTGTATTATGCATGGGAAGAAGAGGGTAAAACCAGTACAGGCTTCGTCCTGTTGATGAGAATGTCTGAGTAGAGAGGTAAAGTATATGGTACGAAAGGATGAAAAAAATAATTCAATATTGGTCGAATGTCGGTCCAGTTCAGGACCAGTGAAGCCTACGCTTTTCCGTAATGCCAATATAGGCCCAGATTAGGTGCCCGTGAAACAACGTATTTAATCAAAATTGCAGCAACATAAATCCTGAAACGTATCTGCAACGTATATGTAATGAATAAGTAGCGATTTGCAACGTAAATGCAATGTTCCTTCGCAACATTTGAGCAACGTTGACGTTTTGGACATTTACACATAGATGCAACATTGTTCATCAACATTTCCTAAACGTTGCTGGAATATCTTGTGTTACTTGGGCAGTTTCCATTTTCAGCTTGCGTCCGCCTGTGAATCCAAGCAAATTCCAGAGCTTGTGAGTGAAACGCAAGAGAATTGGAGTTAGCGATTTTACTTTCCCTTCTGAGTAAAATCGCACTTTTTTCTCATGAGTGTGGAGAGGACTCAATTCACGTTTTCTTACCTAAAAACGAATTTTTGAAGTGAACTGATCTCACGATACGTCAATTCCTTACCACATCTATGCAGCTGAATGACGTGCACGTTGCAGTTGCCAATCAAGTTCCATCTGCTCGATGGAGCTGAACAGAGGGGCTAACCTAATTCCGCTGCTGCGTCGCGTGACGTCACCGTGTGATTGCTCAATCGAAAGGTGCTAACCGAGGACAGAATTGGGCGAGTCCCAAGACTTTCTTGCGAAAGGGAAAGGATATAGACCAGTCCAATGGAGCACCAAGTTTAGGTCCTTGGAAAGTTTCTTTGTATTCTTGCTCCTATTGCTCGGGAACAAAGAATGACTCCCGGGAATCCCAACACCATAGACTCGTCTTATCTTATCCATTATGGGGTGATGTCATTTTTCTCACTCCTGATCAATCTTTCAAGAAACGTGAGCACCCCGTCTTCATTGTTTGTAAATTCTGAGAAATGAAGTTCGTAGTCTTGTCTTCGTTATCATATCAAAGACGGAATATCATCAGGTCTCCAATGCCAAGGTCTCAACCTCAAAAAACAACGATGCGAACAGAAGAGGTCACTGCGTAGATGCGATGGAAAGAATTGCCCCATCGTGTGCCTGTGGTTGCCCTTAATGAGACTTCCTGACCCCTCATTAAGCGATGTACGTTGCGCGAGAAGAATCCCAGGGATGAGGATGTTCGGCCCCAAGGGCCACAGGAAGGCAACGAGCCAAGTTCCGTCCTATTTCCCGGAAAGAAGGCGCCGAATTTCCATACAGCCTTGGCTGAGTGGACTGGTCCCCGTCCGGTCCGTCCATTCCCACCTACGACTCCAGTCAGTGATCATCTCGAAGAAAACCGTCCGTCGCCCGTCCACGATGATCCCTGCGTTTTCCTCTCAGCTCCTCTTCGGCCTCGTGTGCATCGCCTCCGTCTCCGCCTGGGTCGGAGTGGAACGTCTCGCCTTCGACCCCGGTATCATCACGTTCCCTCTATTTTCGTTTGCGTGCGTTCAAGAAAAATCTCTCAAGACGTGCGGTTTCCCTTTAACTTCTGAGGTCCGTTAGCACGAATGCTAATTAAAGCGTCTGAAACGAGGCAGGAGAAACCTGCCGAAGGCGTGGAGCCACCCCGAGCACCTCCGAGAGTGGAACCATGTGCATCTCGCTATATCCGTGGCTAATTCCTTCGATGCGTCGAATAGCACCTGGACGTTTGCTTCGTGCTGATTAACTTATGCAGCTTCACTTGAGCACGACCACGGGAACACGCGTAAATTCCTCTTCTCGAGATGCTTGCTTCTAACTGTCATCATGTGGGTTTCATGGCAGCGTGCTAGTTTTTACGTCAAATCAGCCTCTATTGACCGTGTTTGTAACCGACAATGCTACTTTTTTTAGTATTACTTTACTAGGCATTACTTTAATGAAATGAGCATATGCTATATTTATTTAGAACAGGCATTTTGTCATGCAAACAGAGTACTAAAATTATACCTTAAGTGAGTGTTCAGAATGATGAAACTCCCCCTCCCCTCCCAATTAAAAAAAGTTTTATTATTCAATTCATTGAATGTTGGGTTTAAAATTCCATGAAAACGGAATCTAAATCACGAAATGGAGACTTTTCAAATATACTCCCATTTCCCCCTGTTCTTGAGAATAACCTGCGCCATATTCTTCTTCTAACAGAATATAATTTGAACTATCCCTCCCCAGAACATCAAGACACTTGTCGCTCAGAGAAGATGGGCGAGATGAAGAAGGACGAAGTGAAATTCGATGAAGTAGGCTGCTTCCAGGCCGTGTGCTCCATCAGCGAGAATGTGAACGGCGTCAAGGAAGTCTATGTCCATTACACAGGGTGATTCCAAACCTTCTTTTCAATCCTGGGGTCTATTTCAGCTCGCCTTCCATGAAATTATCCTCTAATTCGAATTCCAAAGCTAAAACTGGGCCAAATCTAAAGAGTACACGTGCATGTCTCTATGGTTCACCTCTCATTTTACGCCACATTTGGAGATATTTGGATTTGGCATGAACGGAAAGGAAAACATGTTTTGCCTTTTCGATTGTTTGTGAATTTCATTCAATATAGATGCTCTACAGGCGAGGAACAAGCCTCTAGGAACTCCAACATCTCATCGATAGAGCTTTGTGACCAGACTGAATGAATTGCACGTCTTGTTCATTTAGATGCGGGACCGTGCTGGCGCCCAAGAGGTGCACCCTGATGTCCGACTCCAGCAAGAATTATCCCCTTTGCTGCCCACAAGTCAAGTGTCCTTGAAGGAAAAAAATCATATGATCTTGAACAAGCATGCTTTACTTCTTCGGTGATGCTTTACTTTTTTAGTGATCATTTAAGCAATAAATAAAAGTCTGAAAAGAACGATAAACAGATTTATTTGAGCAATGAACGGGAGATAACCTAGAATAAAATCGACGACTGAGAAACATGGCACGAACAGTCGGCCCGAGGCCGACAACAAAAAATAATCAAGAAAAAACTGAGAGAAAGGAGGCCATCAACATAGAAATTCCGCCTCGTGCTCCAGACGGGTAAATGCGAGAGGCGTTGAATAAATATTTGGCACTCGGTCACCTCTAAGAAGAGAAGAAAGGAGACGAAAAGGGTTTCAAGTGGCAGATGAGATTGGGCGCCGACGGGATCTCATGCGGGTCTGGAGGCGTTGAAGGATCCCCGAGAGAACGTCGTGATTGTGCAGTTTCTTGCCGAACAGGAGGCGCTTCACCGAGTCGTCGTAGGTGAGAAGGGCCACCATGTTTTGCAGCAGGAATCCCTGACAGTACTCCAGCAGCTGCTCTGCATTGTACACCTGCCGCAACACACGTTCGTTAATACTGTCGTTTCGACATGACGCCTTTAGTCGCAACATTTTTCTTCCCACTTTGGACTGGATTTTAGGAGGAAATCATGGGCTTTTCCCCACGGTCCCTCGTGAACGCAGCGAAGCTCATTCTTCTTTCCCCTCAAAATAATGCCCCAATGGGAGACACCGACGATCTCCTCTGCTGTGTAACCGAGGGCGCAATCCCGAACATATTCTTGAGCTTTGCAATGCTAACATGGCACACGGAGTCCTAGTTGGAAGCTCCACGAGCTCTGCTAAGGCCTGGAGGCTACATGACCTCACACATTTATTTTTTGTCGAAACATGTGCGTCGTGACCGCTAACTAGTCGAACAGCCTCCACTTACGAGGACCTTCTTACTTGTTCCCAGTGGCGTTGAGATTGCACACATTTTACACTGTACAAAGTAAATATATCCCTTGCTCTCAGTGTGCGTGTATATCTCATCTAGAGGCTCTTCTAGGCAGGAATTGTTCATCCTTTCATATACTGTAAGTTTTCTCAACAATATTTTGCAGAAGACACAGCTTAACAGAAAAGGCATGATACAAGGAAGTCTCGTGTATCTTGGTTTTTGCGACCAGTGCCTATAAAGTAAAGAGAGCACAAAACGAACGCGTACGTCACCGTACCGAGAATCATTCCCTTACCGCGAAAATGATCGTGAACACAAACTATTCCAGCTGCCAAAGCCCTGCCTCTTTCGGCAACCATAAAAAATACCTGTACGTGACAAAACCATGCAACGGATGTGTTAGTTATGACGTTCTCCTCATCTCTAGCGGTTTCTCGAACGGTCTTTGCTGCAGATTTTATTTAAATGTTAGTTGCCCGAGGCCTTTATTTGGTGTCCTTGATCCGCTCGACAAAATCCCATCAGGTTGAGTCTTTTACATAGGATTGGGCAAAATCAGACTACGCAGACTGGAATTTCGTGTGGACATTGCGGAAATCCTCTGGGAAGGGGACTTCTTTTGTAGGCCAGACTTGTACTCCATCCTTTTCTTGGCCAACGAATTTTCAACACGATATAGCTTTTTAACATATTCTTCTGAAGGCTTCCGTGAGCCTCGTATTTTCCAGTCCCACGACCCATGCAGCAGTCTGGTATAGAAAGTCTGCTGGATCGTTCAGCCGAAATCCAAATGATCTCTGCTGAAAGTGAAACTACTGAATCAAATTTGCGACGGAATCAAGAAGCGAAGATATCATGATCGAAAATACGGGTCACATTTGAATTTGCAACTGCCGAATATCGTCCGGGAAAACCGTAGTGGCTACGAGAGGTGATAGGGAATGCGACAGAAAAAAAGGCCCGAAAATATTGAGGAATGCAGGGTTTAGACCAACGACAGAGAATCCTGTTGGGAGTCCATCTTTCCCATTTCGTTTGCTTCATTCTCCTAACCGTCGTTTCTCATGGCATCGACTATAATTTCGTGTTGTTTAGCTGAGACCACGCAGGACTGGGGACTCTACGCCTTCAACTGCGGGTTCACTTTAAATCATGGCTCCCTGCATTGTCAGTGTAGCTCCAATCATCTCGCACACACTGAAACGTATAGCAGCCACGATTCATATGCGGTGAGAATGAAAGTATAGCGCAAAAATCGGGAGGTACCATGCCACTCTGGATCTCTCAGACCTCTGGAAAGTCCGAGTCTGACGCTGGCGCTAGAGTCTTTTACCAACACCAGAACTCTGCCAGATTCTGAGTTCCATAACACGCCCCAAATAGCTGCATCCCTCAAGAGATTCTGAATGCAAAAGGAGTGGTGGGACACGGACCTTGGCATGGATGTACATGGAGACCAAGTTCTGAAGATCCAGGGATTGAGCGCAGAGAGCCTCACACAGCTTGAGGAGTCCATCCAGTTGAAAGAAGTTGGCAGCTGCCATCAGTTCCAAGACGTCGTGGGATCCCGCGGAGATATTCACTCCGTCCCATCCTCCCTTGTACAGGTAATGCATCACCATCTAGACGATGACATCCATATCCTTAGCATTAGCCATTGCAGGTCTAGGCTAGACTAGGAATGCTTCATGTTTTCATCCCCTCCCCCCCAAAGAGCGTTGGAGGCTCGTGATCTACAGCAGCGACAGCTCGTCAGTGGGGACAGGGTAGACCCAGATCTACCCGTTTCCACTGAGAAGCAGACACTGTTACAGATCGCAAGCCATCTTGTCTAATATGATCGGAAGAGCAAACACGAGAAAATGAAGCCTTCTCGGAGAAAAGACTGCAAGCATCATGCGTTATTGCAGCATGATTATTGTGCCTGTATGACATAATTCCATCAATATCGAGATATCTGGAAAGTCGTCAGAAGATGCTCATCTCAGAGTAAGGACGCAGACCTGTACAATTATTCAAATTGGAGTGTGGCAACCCTACTTCAGACTTCCCATTGTTTACAGGTCTCACCTCAAAAATGTTGTATCGGATGTCATTGATCTGGACGACCGGAGAAGAAGAGGAACAATTCGAGGAGGAGTTGCTGAGGTCGGAGTTCTTGGGGCTGAGCATCTGCTTGAACCGAGGAGACGCATTCACCAAGATGATCTTGTGCCCGTAGAAGATCCTGCCCTCGACCCGAAACTGGACATCACTCAGTTCTGGGCTGTTCACGAAAGCCGGGTCGATGGAACAGGTGGAGAGCCGACCCGACGACCCGACCCCTCCGTCTCGAATCTTTGGAACGACTTCCTTCCCGTAGCAGGAGGAAAATATGTCTGCCAGCAATAACGTCGTTCCTTCGTTCTGCAACATAAAAAATCAAGCCATGAAACGAGAAGTGAGGATTCAGCGACAGGAAGACGAAGACGACGTCGACCTGATCGAATCGGATTCCTACTATATTGAGAGTGATTGGCGAAGGTAAGATGAAGAGACCTTGGAAAGCCGGAAGATGTTGAAGAGCAGAGGGAGTCCCTCGGTGATGAAAGTGGGTGAGTCTTCATCGGGACACGCTTGATGAAAGTCCTGAAGGAGAGCATCAATGGAGGAATCCAGTCTGCGTTCGTGGGCCACTGCGAGTGCGAGGAGCCAGGAATGCAACGTCCACGGCACTCCCAACCCCCTCAGGTCTAGACACATCTCTATGGGAAACAAAAGGAGACGCTGCTTTGACGTTCTCTGGAGTACCGGTCATTGCACGCAACATCATCCAAGAGCCCAACTATCTCGAGCCCATATTCAAGCACAGTATTATGTGTCAAAAGTCTGAAATCATGGTTATTCCTGATTCACCTAACGGAACGAGATCATGAGATGCAATCACGAATGCACACTGGAACAACGAAGGCACACTAGGTGAATTTGAACCACAAACTGCGATTATCCGGTGGTATCACCCCTTTACTCACTGGTGCCAGACATTTTAAACATCTTATACTAGATCGACTGAATGCACTGCTTCATTTCGCAGAAAATGGAGATATTTCCTACGGAGGTGTCTTCCGTGCACTTCTCTTCCTCACCAGTATAGCACAAGGAGATCAAGTATCCTCTTTCCCTGCATGCTTCTACTTTAGGGAACATTTTTCGGATGTGGATTCATCGCCTCCTGATAACTAACGATACTTTCTGATAAGACAGTTACTTCCTTATAAATCACGTGAATTGCAAACAAGAGTTCATTAGTATCTGCAACATTCGTGCATGTGAGGATCCCAAAGGTCACAAAAGTCATCGAGAGTCATCACGAATGCCAGTCCCATAAGTTTTTCCAGAAATAAGCATCTTGAATATATCGTTGTTGAGTCCTCAAGTAAGGAAAACGAAGATGAAAACATACCGAGATTCCGGTTCTCCGCACTGTGGTAGAGGGCTTCCTGGAGAGCCTTCACCTCCGCCTTCTTCATCCTCAACGAAGTTCCTCCATTCGACGAGCCACTACTCCCTCCTCCACCTCCACCCCCTCCTCCTCCTTCCTCCGACTTCACCCCCTGTCCATATATGAGCATTTCTTGTATGATGGCGTCAATGGGAGCAATCACTCACGTCAAAGTACTTTAAGCACGTTTTGCATTGCAGGTAAACAAAATATATTTAATGACTTTAATTTAAGCACTTATTAAATTGCTTTTCTCATTATTTTGCATCCGAATTTCCATGACTTCCAGAAACAATCAACTTGAAAACTTGAATTCGAATAAGGAACATTTTTTTATCAATTAGCCACAAACTTCTTTCACAGATGCAGTCATTGAGTACACGAATATGAGGCTATGAGGCATAAGCATGGGCAGGTCTTCATGTTACCATGGTGGAAATTTGGCTGCTATCCATCTGGCATCTATAGCCGACCCCGATTTACAAGGATGCCACATATGGAATAGTAATTAATAATAGAAACTTCAGTTGCCGACCCCCTTGAAAAGTTTGAAATTAAAATAGTAATATAATTGTTGTTGTACTTGTGTTTTCAGCTGGAAGGTAATCAAGCACTTGAGATTTAGAGTAAGTGGGCAACACAGCTGAACTGGGGAACTAGGTAGGATATTGCAGGTACGGTGCAGCACCTGGAAGTGTCGGTGGTCCTTGATGCCCTCGGCAAGGATCTCTTCGAGAGACAGCATCTCTTGGTATCCCTGGACCGGGTGGGAGAGCATCTGATGCATGGCACTCCGATGACCGTGACTCGCCGCCACCGATATCGCACTGGAAACCGTCACGTTCGCGTCAATCCTTTTACATCTCTCCTGCACTACACTATCCTCTGAGGGAGTAGGGCGAATACGTACCTGTAGCAGCCTCGTTGAGCGGAACCGGAATAGGAGAGGGGATCCCTGAGTTGGGTTGAGAGGAAAGGATGAGCACCGTGTGATAGAAGCAAGGAGATCATATGCACGTCTCCTGATCCCGCTGCCACCTGCAATCAACCCATTCCTTCATCAGCAATTGCTCTTGGACGAAGTAGGTCCAGTGACGTATTTTATTGAGGGAGGCGTCTCCCTCAATAAAATACCCCCCGTCACCCTGGCAGCCCTTGAAAGTGTCTAGTGCTCCCTCGAAGTCTTTTTTTTCCCTCCTTAAAACCTTTCCTTAACGAGTTCTCTCTACTTTGGTACTCTACGGCTTTGGTAGCTCCATTTCTACAATCTTGCTCCCCTTTGCTCATATACCAAAATACTGTACGTCACTCGATAGATCTATTACTTCATGCTTGAAGTACGCGAAGTGAGATAGATAAGAGAGAGTAGACGGTACGAAAAGTATAACCAAGATTCTTTTCGGAGGGAGACAGCCTCGTAAGAAAGTCTGGACAATAAAGTAAATAAATGCAGTTGTGGAGTTTGAGCAATTCCTATCATTTCCTCGAATCGGATTTTTTCGCGCAATTTTGAGAAGTCTGCGAGCCTTCTCGGAAAATATACGATAAACCATTTGTAAACCTCCCCTTCCGTATTACTTGGTTTCCGGCGGGTCTATCGGAAATCAAAAGGAATGGAAAATGGGGGAAAATGATGATGGTGAAGGAAAGGCATAAGTACCTGGAGAGGAGTCTCGGTGCAGCGGTCCTCGTTAGGCCGTGCCCCGCCTTCGACGTGAGCACCCCGTTCCAAGAGGAGCTGAGCGGCAGATACCTTCCCGTTTACGGCGGCGTAGGTCAAGGCCGTCCAGTGCTGGCGGTGGGAGTAGGCCGGGTGGCTGGGGGTCTCCCCGTCCACGTCGGCTCCCCCGTCGAGGAGTCTCTTCATCACTTCCAGGTCTCCCTGAATCGTCGCCACCATCAGCGGCGTCACGCCCAACTCGTTCACCGTGTTCAACTACATTCCGACATCACATGGTTCTTGTTAGAGTTTTTCCCATCAGAGAGGGAACTGTCGGTAAAAATTTTTACTCTTCCCGTGGTCTTGTATGGGTCCTTCTCGTGAGGAAAAATAGAGTAAGGATCTTTATTTGTTTTTATAAACGATCTCACGCAAAGCTACACAAGCACTAAGAAACCACGGAAATGGCCAAAATCTTAACCAAATCCCATCTAAATTGATAAAGAGTTCTCCAAGCTCCACGATGTTGTCCCCGTCTCGCACGATCAGAGCGATCGATCGACGAGTCCATGCGAGATTTAAGGAGGCACTGATGACCAATGCACTAACCTTGGTGGATGGAAGGAGCTGGACGGCGTGGGGGAAGAGCTCCGGTTGACCTGCACACAGCATCCGGAATGCCAGGCTCACCTTCATCTTCCTCGCACATTCTGTGTTCTCGCAATGGTGCCGAGCACACGAAATCTCCTCACATCTAAACGAAAATGATCAATATTGTGCCGTATTACATGCATCTATGCGCATCTCGATTCCTTCCCCATATTTTCAGCTTTATATCCCTATCATGCTGATTTATTATCGTATATGTTCCTCTCGAGCCGGACGAAGAGCATTAACAACGAATACAAGTGCATTAGGAAGGAGGCGATAGACGTAAATTAGGAGGCTGGCAATTGGAAGTGGGCAATTGTTGTCCATCTCGTTTCCTTGCCAGCAGGGGGGAATGGGAATGAGAATGGAATGTACCCGAGGATGCGGGGAGGGCAATCCACGCCCGGAAGAAGAAGCCGGGCAGCTTGCATCACATCGTCACCGTCGACGACGGCCTCGAGACCCCGGTGATGCGCATGCGCAGAGGACACCCTCACCCACTCGGCCAAGGGGGGTAGGACGATGTATGGTCGCTCGTATGTCAACTCCTGCACCGACATCCCCTCTCTCCGGCCCTCCAACTGTAACGATCGCAGGAAACACCCATCCAGTTAGAGCTTATCGTGTCGGCCGAATTTTCGGAGAGTTCGGGCTCTGTCCTACCTGGGAGCATCTCATGAAGTAGAAGAGGGTATGGAGCGCAGAATTGGCCCAGGCATGAGGGGAGGAGAGGAAATGCCTAGCGATGGTTATCAGGGAAGTCAGTTCCTCTAGGGAACCGACACAGGTGGTCAACAGGTTCTGCTCCATCGTCTTGTTTTCGTTCGGCTCCGCGGGGAGGGCGAAATACGTGCTGTTCCATCGAGGCAACGTGAGAGAACCGGAGGCATTCCTGCCGGCGTTCAGGTGGGCGTACGGCTGAAGGAGACCCCACAACTGAGCGTTGGCGGCAATGGCAGTCTCGAGGACGACGGGGGTGAGCATGGTCTCGCCGTCCGACGGCAGGCAGGCCAGAACCATCTCTTCGAGGAAGTTCTCCAGACCCGCTGCCATGTATACGGCTGCGTATTCGTGGATGAACCGACCCAGTCGGACGTCCACCATCCAGCGATGGAATCGCCCCACTGCCATCTGAAGACCCGCTCGGGAGCCTTTGCTCTCTTTCGTCTGATCCCCCGACACGGCAAACATGGTCGATGCCCTCAGGCAGGCCTGGTTACGATTCCGACATCTTGCTCATCTCTTCGATGACGATCGATAGAACTCCGAAAGCGGTGAAGTCGTTAGACCTACCTTGATGCAGGAATCGGCGAGAGACGGGGACATGAGGATCCTGAAAGCGGAGGCCACTTCTTGCTTCGAGCAGAATCCCAGGGGTCGCGATAAGCGCTGGATTTCCCGAGCCAACCTGACTAGAACCCTTTGCAGGAGGTAAGCGAGTCTCGGAATGGTGTCCAAGGACACCTGCTCGCTTCTGTCCTTCAATCTCCCGTTCTGGACGAGGCGGAGGACCTCGTGACTCGACCACGGCACCACCTGCAGCTCCACCATCCTTACCACGACCAAACAAAATACCACTTGAGGTATAACCAGACCCGGGTGGGGCTTTGGGGCTTTCGCTTTGGCCTCCAGATGCGAAAATAATGCCCAATGATAAAAAAAAAAAAAACATTTGTAATATAACAAGCTGTTTTGTTTTGCGGACACCGAAAATGCATTTAGTCGAGCTGCTCTCGAAATGTCTCAAATGGGTTATCGGTCCCCTCCTCCCTTCCCAGGCAACCTTGAAAGAAACTCCTTACTACGGACATGGGTACGTCCTGAAAGTAACCAGCCGGAGTATCGTTCGGAATACGTCCCGTGGGCAGTTACCTGTTGTGGGAATCGATCCAGACGAATTCGTCAGCGGCGGTGATGTTCGTGTTGATGGTTTCCAGGGACGAGTGTCGCAAGAGCCGCGTCCTCCCATGCTCCATCTCCGAACTGCTCGACGTCGTCGAGTACGAAGTCGTGCTTCGGATCGTGAAATTCTCCATTCCGTGCCTCACGCCTTCCAGCTCCTAGGAGGAACGATACGTTTTTCATACTGGGTTTCAAATGTGGAACATTCTTCTATGCCTCCCAAAAACGATAAGTGATTTTAAAAAAAGAAGCCGTCACGCTTTCACCCCGGATAGGCAGCAAGGGGGGCACGCCCGATTCGTGGAATGACAGTAATATGACTGGAAGAAGGTCGAATGAATTTACATGATTCAGATGCTCGTGTGGGGTAGCCTTGGAGCGACCTTTCGGCCTAGGTCGATGTTTGGGCACGGAGGTGGAATTCATGGGCCTGGGAGGATTGGAAGCAGAGTCTGAAGATCCGGATCCGGATCCGGATCCAGATCCAGATCCACTCAACTCCCCTTGCTCTTCTGCGCTCGTCGACTTCTCCTCGTCGATCACGTTCTCCACGCCCTTCTTGGGAGTCATCGCCATGGGGGGATAAGGTAAGAAGGGACCCGAGGGCGCACCGCGGGTCTTGTAGTCCTCGGGACTCAGGTTCACGTAATGGTGACACGAGCTCCATTTTTCCAGCTTGACGGGAGGACTCGGGCCGCGACCTCCCTCGGGGTCGTCCCGGGTCGGGGGGGAAGTGAGGTCTCGCTGCGGACTCGTCCCCGCACCCCGACATCCTTTCACGCCTCCTTGGATCTCCTGCGAAGAGGAAGAAGCTCGTGAGTCCCCTCCGGGGGGCGTGTTCGTGCTTCGACTTCCTCCTGAATATTCACGAGGAGTCAGCAGGAGCGAGCGAAAAGGACAAGCTCGGTGACGATCCCATGCGGTCTACGACATCGAGCATTTATCACTCCTCGTCGAGAAACAAAAGGGAAGAGGAAGTCGGGGACGAAGACTCACGTTTGCCGTAGGGAGCTTGGTCGGAAGCCTCTGGTAAGGTGTGCATTTCCCGCTCATGCATGACGTCGACAGCCTGAAGGAGGAAGAAGGAGGGAAAATATTCGGGGGGATGATTACGGGTCGGGTTTTAAAAACGCTGCTCGTCGAACTCACCTCCTGGGCTTGGGTCGAAGGATCCCCGGATCCACCGGAGTCTGGTGCTCCCGGAATAGTTCTGGACAAGGAGCCACCGACATCCTACGACAGAAGAAGCAGGATTCTCTCCGCCCTCAAATCGTCGGCTTAAGTATAGGCTCAGTCCATGGATTTACGACGTCGTTCGGAATCGTCGACAAGGGGTCGTTTACCGGAATCCCGATCGCGTCGGTGACTGCGCAGGACTCTACTCGAATCGCGTTGCCGTGCAGAGGAAGGAGATATACAAATCCCATCATATGATGCCAATAGGTCTCGGAGGACTGAAAGCTAGGGTTACCGGAACCGGTTTCCCTTCTCGGGTAACGCAAGTAATACCGTAGGCCCATTCTAGATTTTTTTTGGTACAACAATTTTTTACATGCGTGAAGCTCTTTCCACGACGAGGCTGACGTTTCCTCGAGCTCGGAGCGCATTCGACCGGTGCTAAATTCGAGGACGTTACGCACACGATGACTATTTGCAGTGATTTATGCCTTGTTTTTGCCGTTACAACGGTCGACATGCACTCGTCGAGGCAAACGCGGAGACGTGTGCCTGGGATCCGATCCTGCAACGCTCTCCCGCGCAAAGGCGAGGCGATACCCTCCCGTGCAAAGGTAAGATGATGAATACCCTCGCATGCAATGGTACTCGAGGGACTAAAGGGCGGAGCCGCGAAAGAAGCTCAGGGGGAATGGGGGTATTACGAAAAGCCGGCCATCGATCCTTGTCCGCGCATTCGGGTCGACTACCTGAATTCTCTTTTCGCCTTCCTTCCATGCATTCATCATTCTTCTCTTCCGATTTAATTTCGTTGCTCGATCGATCGACGCATTCACTACGGCGAACTTTCTCCGGATCGCCCGACGCGGTTAACCCCCTCGGCGTCTCGAAATGCGATCGATTCCGGTTTCCACATCCTTGGAAAAAAAAAAAAAAAAGGGGGGGGGGGGGGNTACTTCTACCTCTCTCCCTCGCCAGCGGACCATCCACTCGGCATTCGTTTCTCCTCTCACGTCTCTTTCTCTCTTTCTCTCTCTCTCTCTCTCTCGTTTTTTTTCCCATCTTCTTTTTCTTACTCTCGTTTCCCGTTTTGCTCGTCCCGGAAAAACTCGGCGGTGGGGATCGATGCCGTCGCTGCTAGGTTCAGGGTAAACGAGTCCAACGAATAGTCGGCACGATCGAAGATCGTGGATGCTCGAAAAGGACACAAAAGAGTGCTCACTAGAGTTTTTTTATTCATCATGAAGGACTCACGCGATCGTCTGACACGAGGAACGTTTCATTTCCTCATACGAACAGCAGTGACATTCCATTGCCTTGATCGCTCGCCACGAAGTGCAAAACGAGAAAACGAAGTCCGATCGGTATACGGCTGTGAGAATCGCGTGGAATCGCACCCGAAAAACCGAGGAAAGGAGACCTCGCATAGAAGAATCTCCTATTAAGACGAAATGATCTGCCGATGAATTCTTGGGACGTTAAATTGTTTGGACCCGGTTCTGACAGATTGATGCACTGCTGACCCTGAAGCGAACACGAAAGCGCAAATCATGCGGACAGTCCTCATGCCGACTGTCATACCGGTTATCTTCATGCCGATTTTCTTCATGCCATCCGCATTAAGATCTCACGAGAGGGGGGGGGGGGTACATTTTTGCCGTAAGGATCTCTTTCCATCGTCATGAAACCATCCGAAACGGAAAGGAGTTACAAAAATACCCTCGTACGGTGGAGAGCCACAGCTTACAGGGGAAATTGTATAATAAAGCTCGAACTCCCGAACTTCAAAATATGCTACACGCTTGATGAGACGTTTCACTCGCGAAACGATAGAAATTCGACGCAGTCGCCATACTTCCTATCGAGGACCCATCCTCGCGCCGAAGCACGATCGCAATCATGATCGGGGACCTGTAAGTACGCGTACGTAATTACTGCGAAGTCATCGTACCGATTCCTTTGGAATTCGAAGAGCCTTTGTCGTCGCCGACTCGGATCGCGATGGCGACGGGGGAAAACGAGGACCGAGTGAGAATCGGTTCCAGGGGAACCCAGTGTCTGCTCGAGCAAATCTACGGGTCACCCGGACCGTGTCGAAAGTTTAAGAACATGGAGCAACCCCGGAGTGACATCGAAGGCTAAATTCAGTCTCGAGTGCGAAATGACGTAAGAGTGCGGGAGGGTGTCCCGAGGCACGGTTGGAGGGTGTCCCGAGGCACGGTTGGAGGGTGTCCCGGGGCAGGGTTGGAGGGTGTCCCAGAGGCAGGGTGGGAGGGCGTCCCGGTGTCCCAGAGGCAATGCACATTCCCGTGTCTTCGGTCTCCACCGTATCGTGAAGTCCATCAGGATCTTCCTAGAACGTTACGATCGGGTAACGGATGCGGAACGGAGAGAACCCTCGAGACATCGTACGTTTACGTTCTGCAGTGGTCTCCGAAGCCGTTTCGCAAGAGAGTTACGGCGTAATACGAGGCAGACGGGACTTAAGGTAGGGTCATCAACCAGATAAGTAGCCGCTCGTCGGGAAGAGAGAGCCGAGAGTCGAGTAATTGGAAACGGGGAAGTGTCTGTCCGTCCGTCCGTCTGTCCGTCCGTCCGTCTGTCCGTCTGTCCGTCCGTCCGTCTGTCCGTCCGTCCGTCCGGTCGTGATTGGAGTCCCCCAGGGCGAAGTCCGACTCTCCGATGAATCTTCGCCTCCACGGATTTCGTCGAGGTTTCGTGAGTAAAATCGGTTTATCTGCCGGGGACGAGAAAGTGCATTTCGAGGGAGGAGGGACGGGACGAGATCGGAGAGAGAATTACGACTCTCGCAGGAGTAAAATATGGAGTTTCGCGAGAAGAAACTTTTTGACGTCCGCATCGAGCGACGACTCGAACGGGGATTTCGATCCTCGAATCATCCCCGACGATGGACTGAATTTCTCGCACGCGCAGGCGATGAAAGTCAAAGCGGAACGGGATTTCACGCCGCCCCCCTCCCCCCCCCCCCCCCCCCCCCCCCCCCCCCCCC